AATCAGGAATCATGCAACATCACCACTCGTCAGCGATCGACGGCCCTCCCCCCCAAAGCCGCCCCTTCTCACTCGCGCTTCTCTCTCACACGACTAGACTGGTCTGCATCCCCTTACGTGCCAATGCTTGGCTGTGTGAATAATTTGCTGACCTGGTCTTGTGCCCCAGTCTCACCGCAAGCCATGGGGGCCCCGAGGGCGAGCCAGCCGCTCTCGCTGTGCCTGTGCCTGTGCCTGTGCGTGTACCTGGTGTCCTCCGTCGTCGCCGTTGCCAGTCCGCTACCACGCACGGCAGTGCTTGAGGCCTTGAGGCTATGTACTCTGGTCCTTATGCCCGTCCTCGAGATCGCCCATGATGTAAGGGCTACCGGGCAAGATCTCGTGAAATGATCCATCCGTCCTTTCCGCGTGCTGGCTCGTGGCCTCGGGGGACGCAGCATGAGAGCACAGAAAAGGGATGTGACAGCAACAGAGACATCCCACAAAAAATGTGCAACTGGTTACGCACCACCACCACCACCACCACCAATACCAACCAAGGCGGGGGCAGCTCTGACATGAAGCCTTGACATACGTATTCCTGTTTTCTCCTTCTGCTCATCGCCTCCCGCAGCATTATCGGCAGACAGCTCCATACCACGTCCAGCACATATCACGCAACGTTCACGCAATACGCAAGCAACACTGCACTGCCGCCGTGCTGTTACTGTTGCTTCGATACTTCAAAACGTCGCCGGTCTGACCGGCCCTGCCCTCCTCCACCCCCCTAGATTTTCTCGAAACTTGCAACGACCACGCACATCATCCCGAAGTCTCCACGTATTTGCCCTTGGTTCTGGCTCCTGGTATGCTGCGGAGCAAGCCCGCCAGACAGGGTAACGTGGCCCGCCTCTTTTGATTTCCGTCCCGTCTCCTGTCCCATCTATCCCGGACCTTGCTCGTCTTCGACATCGTCCCTGGGTTGGCACCTTGCATCACTCATCAGTGCCTCGGGCTGCGACGTGCCTCTACATTGGTTCTCTTCCCTGACCAGACCTCCGCCTCAAACAACAACAGATCGCCCGCCCATAACGCCTCTCGTCTTTGACTGCTCTCCGATTCTTTCACATCCCGAGAGTCTCGAGTCACCTCCCCTGGTCCTTTGATACCCAGCATCCCTCACTGTTCTTGTCTTGCCTTGTCTTGATCAGCCTTGGCTTATCTTCCATGCCCTTGCAAATCATCCCGCACTGCATGTATCAGCGTAGTCCGATATATTATTAGCCTGGAAAGAAAAGAATACTACGACGACACGACAGCAAGCCCAACAGGAAGATACCAGTAGAGCCTCCCTCAAACCCCTCCACCACACAGACGCTCTTGTCGTCACCTCCGTCGCTCACCCAGTCAGATACCGGGGTCGCTCTGCACAGAGGCTCTCGCCAAGGTGTCCGAGTCGATTCAACAGCCATTCTGTCGCATTTCGGGGTCTCAGGTTCCCTGTGGATCGCTGCAAAGGAAACGACGTTCACGAAATAAGCTATTTTCTTATAAGCAGCCCGTCTTGCACGCCCAGAGAACCCCAAGAACAACGCATTCCAGCCTTGCCTCAGAATCGCCGTTCTCTTTCACTCTCTTCGACAAGTCTTCACCAAGACTGCCTTCTGTCTCTCCTTCGACGCTCGCCCCGGTTTGGCGCAGCACACTACACGGCAGGCAAGGCCCCCATCCCTCCCACCCCACGACCACCGTACTTAGCTGGCGTGGCACTCCCCGGCGGAATAAGAAATCCAGCAGGCCTTGATTTCTCTTCGACTTCTTGTCATCACTTGAAAGAGTCCACTCTCCTGCGGCTTGCCTGACAGTCTTCCCCACACCAGACCCTCGTCACTCGCCTCTTGCCTCTCATCCCCCCTGCACCAGCTGCTGTCCTGCAGTCTCTCCTCGGCCTCTCTTTCTATCCACCTGCGTTGCGTGGCCAGCCTTTTCCGCGCGTCTTCTCCGGGCCCTCTCGTCGTCCTTCCGAGCTGCCGCTGTAAGTGAGGTCGAGCTCCTTCACGACCTAACGACCTGCTTCCTCGCAACTCCTTTCACTGCCAGCATTTTTTTTTGTCCAGCGGGCTGCTAAACGTTGCCCACCATGCCTGATCTCGGCCTCAGCGACCTCAACAGCATTCTGACCATCTTGGGTACGTTTATGCCAAGAACCAAAGCAGCTGTCAGGGCGGGATTCTCAAGGATCGCAACCCTTGTCACTGCTGATTGCACCGACAATGCTGACCCTGACTGCCAACTGTAGGTCTTTTCATCGTTCTTTACGGAGTGATTTCCGTCAAGTTCAAGAACCAGTGGTACCTGGGTGAAGCCCGTATGTACTCGCTTCTCCCTGAAGTAGGCCGTCGCTCAGTGCTAACGCAAACAGTGCCGGCCGTCATCATTGGTATTTGCCTGGGCCCGATAGCAGCAAAGTTCATAGTATCAGAAAGATGGGGGAATCCCGAACCAGGACAGACGTCCGAAATCACTCTGGTCAGTATTATTCAGTATTCCCATTCGTTGCCATCAAGTACTGACTGTTTCCCTAACAGGGCATCATGCGAGTGATGATCGGCATTCAGCTGGTCATTGCAGGCTATCAACTGCCCGCTAAATACACCATGGCCCGCTGGAAGGACATGACCCTAATCCTGATTCCCGTCATGACAATGATGTGGCTCTGCACCACCGTCTGCGTCCTGGCGACCATTCCCAAGCTGAGCCTGCTGGCATGTATGGTCATCGCAGCCTGTGTCACATCAACTGATCCCGTTCTCTCGCAAGCTGTCGCAAAGGGTCCGTTTGCCGACAAGTTTGTCGCCCGACCCGTTCGTGAGGTCATCTCCGCCGAGGCCGGTGCCAATGACGGATTCGGCTTTCCCTTCTTGATGCTCGCCACCTACCTCATCCGCCATGCCGAGGGCGTCAGCGTCCAATCGATGACAGGTGAGAGCGATGGCGGTCTTCACAGGCGTGCTGGCGATGTCGAGCGCCAGGGCGGCGGCGTTAGTGTGGCCATGGGCAACTGGTTCCTCGAAACTCTGCTCTACTACGTGATCATGGGCGCCGTTTACGGTGCTGTAGCCGGAACTCTGACTCGCTTCGCGGTCAAGTTCTCTCTCAAGAGGTGAGCCTGAGTGATCTGTGGCAGCAGCGTGTTTGACTGACAGATCGCCCTGCAGGAAGTGGATCGACAGCGAGAGCTACCTGCTCATCCCCCTCGCCCTCGGATTCCTGATGATCGGCAGCGCTGGCCTCGTCGGCACCAACGACCTGATTGCCTGCTTCGCCGCCGGTAGCGCGCTTAACTGGGATGGCGAGTACCTTGCCGAGACCCTCAAGCGTCACGACGAAGTCAACTCGAGCATCGACGTCATTCTCAACTTTGGCGGCTTCATGTACCTCGGCAGCATCTTCCCCTGGGCCGACTTCCAGAACGCGGATACTGGCATCACCTACGGCCGCCTTTTTGGTCTGGGGTTCCTCGTCCTCCTGTTCCGCCGCATTCCCGCCATTATGATCACCTATAAGCTGATGCCGCACTCGATTCGACCCTGGAAGGAGGCCCTCTTTGTGGGGTACTTTGGCCCGATGTGGG